TTTGCTGATGTGCAAGTTGATGCAAGTTGTATTTCTGACGTTTCTGAGTCAGGCATGGTGATTTTGTCGTGAATTAGGTTTTTGTAGCCACCCTCATGCCTAGTGATTTTATACCAAATCATAGCCTTGAGAGCAGACCATTTATAACTATAAAATGGCGTGCAAGGCCCCCCACGTTATATTCTCATAACTATCTTGCAACCATGTTCACCCATGTTGCATGTTCTGTTTTTTGTGCGTGGTCAATCACACCAAATAATCGTGTAGCAAAACTAGTTAGCAGGCAATAATCCTGTCAAACCACGCCAGCCGGCCCTTCAATTTCTTGTCGCCCTTGCCCCTTGGCATTGCAATAAGCAACCTAAAAACAGAAAGCGTTTGCAAGCATCCCCCCAAAGCCTTCTTTGATCCTTTATGCTGGATAAGTAGTTTGATTCATGATAATATATGATAGTTATGCGGTTATGCCTGGGGATGGCCTCCATCTCAAAAGAGTGTTGGAGGGTCGGCCTAAATCGAAGCAGGTCATTTGAGACATCCCCCCCAACCTTCGGGTCATTGGCCGATTCGATGCTCCAGGAGATGGGTCACGTGCCGGCGAGCTCTTTGCGATCTTGGAGCAGCAGCTCAGCAAGGGGATGCCCCACAAATGCGCGGGCGGGCTGGGCTCCTACCCTTAAAACGCGTTCTGAACCGCTCATCGTCGTGCAGCGTCGTGCGTTCGCCGACACTAGTGGCGATCGCGACCCGGGGATCGGAAAAAGGGCTTCCACCCGAAAGGGAGGCGTTCAGAGGAAGGCGTGACGGGTGGATCCTTTCAGTGTGGCTTCCATGCCACAAAAAGTCCTAGGCTTCCATGTCGGACTACTGCCTGGCTAACTGAGAGATCCATGAACCTGACAGACTCAAGAAGCCAATCCTTGACATCCCACAAAAAGAGACCGCCCCGGGACTAGTGAAAAACAGGGGCAGGGTGTGGGGAAACGCCACAGCACGCCACCAAAGCAATCCATCCCATAAGTATGTGTGACCATCATAGTGGGACAACTATTCCATAGGAGAGTAGAAGATATGACATCAGTGGGACCATCATAGTTCATATCTCTAAGTTTGCAACCATTCCATCACTGATGTCATGTTGGCGTGTACATCGGTGGTATCGGGAGAGCTGACGCACCACTGCACGCGGTGGGGCTGTGCTCATGGCATGGGTCCCATGCTTGTGCGATGTCCACTCCGTTGGGGTGATGTTTAACAAAGATGGCTCAGACCACGACAGATGACCATACACATTGAGCACATACATGCACATACCACCCAAACCACCTAGCGGGCACCAGGGCTGACAATACACGTTGAAGTTTCACCACACCAGCAGTCGCAAATGATGAATCCCCGCCGTTCGTTCAATACCGCTGGCCTAGGTGGTCTACAGGTCCATATTGATATTATATGGATACTGTATACTATATAAATGTATAACAACACATAGTATTGTGTGAAATCACATGCTACGCATGCTTTGTTTGTTTTTGCCATCGCTCCAGGCACTTCTTGTCTCCCAAGGTATGCAGGCGACCGGGAGATGGGGCGCTCCTGCGCCAAGGCAGCTGAGCGGATGGCGGTGTCGGAGAATGGGCTGGATCAGCTGGCGGCAGTCGGAGCGCTACAGGGCTTGGTGCCACTGGGGCAGCGAAGGATATGACGAAGACAGTAGAAGGTGTTATGTGACGAGGGTGGAGGCAGATCAGCAAGAACACAATGGAGGAACATGCACACGATCCCAAGCGACCACCCTAAGAAGTGTTGTATGGTAAGACATATGGTGCACGATGCTGGGATGGTTTTACCATGTGGTGACTGCGGCGTGCAGGAGTTTTCACATGTCTGGAGACTCAGGAAAATGTGGCAAGCCCATGGCAACGACACCTCGGTGTCCGTTCACATGAACCAGGTCATGGCACGTTTTTGGGAGCGCGCCTCCAGTGATGATCAGTGGATTTGCTTACCTGCCCAGTTGGCCGTTGGCAAGGCCCTGATCACTTCCGGCCAAAGCGAGCCTGGATGCGAAATGATGGCTTGTTTCCCAGTCTATAGTCTTTAGGCCTTCCGCATGTGGCAGGTCCGGTCCAGAACCTGCAAACATGCCGTCTTGAAAAGAAACGGGCGTTTAACAGCGTTTGATTCTTCTCGCCCCCAGTGGTCCGATGGGCCTTTGTAGCTTCTCCCAGGAATGGCTGGCTGAAGCTCATCGTGCTGCAGTGTCCATGCATGAGAAAGGCCACAAAACTGCAGCCATGGAGCTCTACCGCTTGTGCATTGATGAGCTTGAAAAGACCCATGGTCCAGCCACCTGGTCTGAGGAAAGCTAAGGGAATACTGGAGGGAGATCTGGAAAATTGCTGGGGGCACCTGCCTCTTGAGGGAGGACTTCTGGAAGCCTGGCTCTCCTCTACCTGTGGCGTCCGTTCGTTTCAAGGAGTGTTGTTTGTTGACTTGGCCCAGCCATTTACTACGTAGTGAGTGGCCATGTGTCACCCCGCTGGTTGATGGGATTCCTGTGCAAACTATTGAGGGCATTGTTGTTGAAATTGGCCTCCAGGTCTTGTCCTTAATGTTCGCAGGGGACTTTCAGAAGGTTCTTCACCACAGCCTTCCCCGCTCAGGAAAACCAATGCGCTTTGCAAGCTCAAAACAACTTGGCAGTTCTTTTGGAGGAATGTCAGCAGCTCCTTGGACCGTTTCGGGTTTGATTTTTGGTAGATCGGGCTGACGTGAGCAGAGCCTTACTTACCAGCAGCCGTCAAGGAGCGGCTGGAAACGCTGAAAACAAGCAGCCACCCAGGTCTCATCGATTCGCTACAAGCAGTTCCCGGGCAAGCCGGCGGCGGAAGTTTCCTATAAGAAGAAATTGACCTATAGGAGTGTCCACGTTCTCTCCAACATGCGCGTCCTCCAGTCAAACGCACGCGCTCCGGACTTTTGACCCACGGGATTCCACGTGTGTAAGGTGTGTGTGCCCCCTGCGAGAGATGACACACATCCGGCCACCACGACTTGCCAAGGATGCGGTCCACATCGACACACATCCCACCGTGGCATTCTTCAGTGGCGGCAAACCTTGCATATCACACATCGGACTGAATGGAATCCGAATTTGAATGTAAAATCTGTCTTGAACTCTGAGACTATGTATGATGAGTCTTGTATGATGAGGGGTGTATGACAAGTGATGAATGATGAGTGGTGTATGTTGAGTGGTGTATGATGAGTGGTGTATGACGAGTGGTGTATGATGAGTGGTGTATGCTGACTGGTGTATGATGAGTGGTGTCTTGACCAGCGGTTGAATGTCCTGTCCTGCATAACTGCAACCAAATACTATCAGTATGAACTGAACGTGCACGCCACGAGAGATGACTCAGCAGCGAGAGATGACTCAGTCGCGAGAGATGACTCAGCCGCGAGAGATGGCTATAGCGAGAGCTGACTCAGCAGCGAGAGATGAATGAGCAGCGAGAGATGACTCCTCCGCGTACTGCACTGTTCGCCAGTACAACTCTAGTTGTACTACGAAGTCGCCAGTCCTCAGCTTCTAGCTGCACAGATTGCTCCGCGTGCTGAAGTTGTACTACAAAGTCGCCAGTTCTCATCGTCCAGCTTGCCAGATACGCCGCGTGCTAAAGTTGTACTACAAAGTCGCCAGGTCTCAGCTTCCAGCTCTACAGATTGCTCCGCGTACTAAAGTTGTACTAGAAAGTCGCCAGTTCTCACCATCCAGCTCCACAGATACTCCGCATACATCCGCGTACTAAAGTTGTACTACAAAGTCGCCAGTTCTCAGCTTCCAGCTCTACAGATTGCTCCGCGTACTAAAGTTGTACTAGAAAGTCGCCAGTTCTCACCATCCAGCTCCACAGATACTCCGCGTAGTAAAGTTGTCCTACAAAGTCGCCAGTTCTCCTCGTCCAGCTCGCTAGATACTCCGTGTACTAGAGTTGTACTACGAAGTCGCCAGTTCTCAGCTTCTAGCTGCACAGATTGATCCGCGGACTGAAGTTGTACTACAAAGTCGCCAGTTCTCATCGTCCAGCTTGCCAGATACTCCGCGTATTAAAGTTGTACTACAATGTCGCCAGTTCTCAGCTTCCAGCTCTACAGATTGCTCCGCGTACTAAAGTTGTACTAGAAAGTCGCCAGTTCTCAGCTTCCAGCTCTACAGATTGCTCCGCGTACTAGAGTTGTACTAGAAAGTCGCCAGTTCTCAGCTTCCAGCTCTACAGATTGCTCCGCGTACTAAAGTTGTACTAGAAAGTCGCCAGTTCTCAGCTTCCAGCTCCACAGATACTCCGCGTACTAAAGTTGTACTACAAAGTCGCCAGTTCTCAGCTTCCAGCTCCCCAGATGCTGTGCCTGCCACGAAATCTGCCGCCTGCCACGAAATCTGCACCTCGAGGCTCACAAAGTGCTGTGCCTGCGACGAAATCTGCATATGGAGGTTCACAAAGTGCTGCACCTGCCACGAAATCTGCACATGGAGGTTCACAAAGTGCTGCACCTGCAACGAAATCTGCACATGGAGGTTCACAAAGTGCTGCACCTGCCACGAAATCTGCACATGGAGGTTCGCAAAGTGCTGTGCCTGCCACGAAATCTGCGCATGGAGGTTCACAAAGTGCTGCACCTGCCACGAAATCTGCACATGGAGGTTCACAAAGTGCTATTGACCCTGCATTCCGGGTACTTGGCGGAATCAGCCAGCCAGCCACATATCAAAGTACCCGGCGGAATCAGCCAGCCAGCTAGCTAAAAAGTATCCGGCGGAATCAGCCAGCCAGCCAACTATCAAAGTATCCGGCGGAATCAGCCAGCCAGCCAGCAAAGTATCCGGCGGAATCAGCCAGCCAGCCACCAAAAGTACCCGGCGGCTGGCGGAATCAGCCACCAAAAGTACCCGGCGGCTGGCGGAATCAGCCACCTAAAGTATCCGGCGGAATCAGTCAGCCAGCCACCTGTCAAAGTATCCGGCGGAATCAGCCAGCCAGCCAGCAACTTCTCAAATTATCGGCGGAGTCAGCCAGCCAGCCAGCAAAGTATCCGGCGGAATCAGCCAGCCAGCCAGCAAAAGTGCCCGGCGGCTGGCGGAATCAGCCACCTAAAGTATCCAGCGGAGTTAGCCGGTAGGCAGCCAGCAGAAGTATCCGGCGGAATCAGCCAGCCAGCCACCTATCAAAGTATCCGGCGGCTGGCGGAATCAGCCACCACAGCTTCCGCGGGGTTGGCAGGTGACCCGCCGGAGCCTGGAGCAGGTCAAACGTCGACGTCAACCTCAGGAAGAAAACGCAAAAACGCAACTCATTCCACACATTGCAGCAGGATTTCATTAACAGGGTCGTGCGTTTTATTTTGGCTGAGTCATAGGATTCTAAAACTGAGAGATTGTGGCTCAAATGAGATTTTGTGAGAACTTGACTCATGCTAAAGCGGCGAGTTCATGCCGTCCTCGTGATACTTAAGCCCTCAGGAGAAATAGATATAATTAAGGCGGAATCAGCCAGACAGCTAGCTAAAAAGTATCCGGCGGAATCAGCCAGCCAACCACCTATCAAAGTATCCGGTGGAATCACCCAGCCAGCCAGCAAACTATCCGGCGGAATCAGCCAGCCAGCCACCAAAAGTACCCGGCGGCTGGCGGAATCAGCCACGTATAAATGCTATGTTGTTATGTCTCTTACACACCTATATAAGTTCAATGAGACTTCAAAGCTGTGGATTGCTGTACGTGTGTAAAGGTTATCGAGCGGTTGACGGACAGGGAACTTGAAGTACTGTACCTGGTAACTGAATTGTAGTTACCCTGGGTATCTATACCTGCGCCAGTTGAGTAAGAAGGGGGGTTCGCGGGGGTGGCCTGAGAAAGCACACTCGAAAGCAAAAACGCTGGCTTTCGTTTTGCCGCTTCTCAGGTTGTTTATGTTGTTTGCCTTGCTGGCAGGAAGCCTTCCCAGGACGCGTACATGGCTTCACTTTTTGGCCCGAAGGGTTGATCAAGGAGGCAAGGTTCCAACCAATCAATCAATCAATCAACCTTTACGCGCGCAAAAACATCGGCTCAGGTGGAAATTGCTAACAACGCTCTGTCCAATGTTGCTGCGCTCCCACGAGAGCTTCGTTCCCATGGAACAACAAACAACAAACAACCACCACCAACAACAACAACAACAACAACAACAACATGACTTTGCTTTCCCGGCCTCAGAGAGGCATGTTTGCGATGCGCCAGCATGTCGCAAAGCTGCAGTGCAGTTTGCATGGACAGCGCGCATCAGAGCTCTTTTGACACGTGGCAAACATCAGACAAAATGAGCTTCTAGGATCTGAAGGGTTTAGCCATCAGTGGCATGGCAATGTGACTAGTTATGTGACCACTATAGTGGATCAATTTGTATTGTTGAACGAAACCCGAGCCATCACTAGCCTACACTACTTGTGACGCCTCTTACCATTTGGCGCCAGTACTTGTTTGGTCCACGTTTCCTTCATTAGCCAACTGTGTGTGCCAAAAGTAAAGAATATGTGAACTTTCAGCTATTTTTGAAAGAACGCATTTCGACCAGATCAGATTCAAATTCGCTTTTCCCGGACCGCCGCCACTCTTTCTGGTTTTAGCGCGGCGTGCGCCAGAACTAGTCACACCGCATTTGGGTGGTGCGGTGAGGTCCTCTGAACCTCTAACTGCGGTACACTGAAACTCCACGGCCCGTGGAGCTGGGACTTGTGTAAAGGACCATTCTCACTCAAAATAGACGGGAACTGTGGCCGGCGCCTCGTCTGTACACGCGAAAAGTGACTCAACTGTACGCGCGAATGAGATGCCGGAAGCCACCTATGAAAGTATCCAGCGGAATCAGCCAGCCAGCCACCTATCAAAATCCCGACGGAATCAGCTAGCCACCTATCACAGTATCCGGGAGAATCAGCCAGCCAGCCACCTATCCAAGTGGCCGGCGGAATCTGCCAGCCAGCCAGCCAGCTATATCAAAGTATGCGGTGGAATCAGCCAGCCAGCAACCTATCAAAGTAGCCGGCGGAATCAGCCAGCCAGCCACCAAAGTACCCGGCGGAATCAGC